GACTTCACTTACTACCTGCTCGATTAGCTTTGCCCCCAACATCAGCAACTTTTGTCCTGGGTTTTCCTTCTGCAAGACAGCCCAATCAACAATCAAATTGCACGTTAGTCTCACCAAAGTCATAGGATCATTAATCAGTTTATCACGAAAGATGATATCATTTCGACATTTCCAAATAGCCCATAGGACAGAGGTCCCGACCAGCACTAGTTTTCTTTCTTCGGTACTGAACTCTCTTATCCATGGGCCCAAACAATCATCAGCCCCAATGGGAGCTGTTTGTAAGTTAAAGGAGCATTTTATTAAGCTCCATAGTAATCTAGCGGCAGAGCAAGAGAAAAAAAAAGGTGATCTATGGTCTCATCTTGACCACAGTTTACAAATTTTTTGTTTCCTTTCCATCCTTTTTTAGCTAGATTATCTTTGGTCAGAATACTTTTTCTAGCAAACAACCAGAAAAACATTTTGATTTTTGCTGGAATTTTGATTTTCCACAAAAATTTATGTGGGAATCCCACCTCTGTCTTAATTAAATGTTGATAAAGTGAACTCACTGAGAACTGTCTACTGGCTACCAGCATCCACATTGGTTGATCTTTGCCCTCATGCATTCTCACCTCTTCACATTTAGATTTTAAACTCTCCCACAAAATCTTTTTATCATCAGTCAGATTCCTTCTGAATTTAAACCCATTCCACCCCATGTTGATGGCCTGGGCCACCGAGATGTGATGGTCCAGATTAATAAAATATAGACTTGGGCCTCTTTCAGAGGTTTGGATCCAACCCACCAATCTTCCCAGAACCGTGTGTTTTGCCCATCTCCTAGTTTTTTCTTCACATTGTTATAGTATAACTCTTTGATCTGCATCAAACTCCCCAAAAATGAGAGTCACCCACTCTGTTGGAGCTCATACTTGACGTTGTTTCTGTCCTAGATGAAGTTACGGTGGTGTGCTTTTTCTAAAATGCAAGCCATGCTTTTTTGTAACTCACTACGGCTGTCAAACTGGCAGATAGTTGAAAGTTGGACGAACAAGTTCAGGACATCAGAAAGCCAGACAGCACTGGAACAAGTAAAAGTATGTGCTGAGATAGGGATAAAATGCATGAACTATGACCCAAGGAATAGGCCTGCTACATGGTTTATCATTCGTGGAATGCTGGGTGAAGTGGAAATTTCAAACTGGTCTATTACAAGTGATGTAGCTACCTCGACAAAAGGGCAGGTACAATTACGCAATAGCAAATGTATATGATCCACCATTTAACTATTTAGTGATTTTTCCTAACCTTATTTTCATTTTTGTTGCAGATATTCTTTTCCTCCAAGTTGGTGGATGAATTGAAGTTGATGGATGATTCCGCTGCAACATCCGAACTGCAGCCATCAGGGCTGGAGGTAGAGCAGGAGGATGGCAAAGTGAGCCTAGAGAGTAAGGGGAAGTCAACAACAGTGACTGTGGCGACTGGGGTGACGAGCACCCTCAGTGCCAAGCTTGCCAAGCTCATGGGTGACGAGTACATTAAGCGCAAAGAGGTGAGGAAGCAGGCGTCCTTCCTCAAGAAGGAGTTGAGCACCATAAACGCTGTCCTTGAGCAGCTGGAGCTCATGGATGAGCTCGCTCCAGCAGTAAAAAATTGGAGGGATGATGTCAGGGAGATTTCCTATGACATGGAGAATTGCATTGATGACTTCATGCGCCAATTTGGAGGTGAGGATGCTGAAGCAAGCTTCACCGGGGAGGCTGCTGAACTTCACAAGAGGTTGTGCGAGCTTCATAGGATTGCCAACCAGATGGAAGAGCTCGGGACTCTTGTGGTAGAAGCAAATGCTCGACGTGAGAGCTACAAGATTGATGATTGCAAGCCTAGCTTTGTGGGTGTCGACCCTCGGCTGTCAGCAGTCTACCAGGAGGCAACTAGCCTTGTGGGCATTGACGGCCCAAGGGAGGAGGTTGCCAATTGGTTGATGGATACTCAGAAAAAACTCAAGGTTGTGTCTGTTGTTGGTTTTGGAGGTCTGGGTAAAACTACACTTTCCAAACAGGTATATGATAAGATCAGGGGGCATTTCAAGAGTGTGGCATTCATTTCAGTTTCACAGAAGCCTGATATGAGAGTGCTTCTCAGTCGCCTACAATTGAAACTTGGGATAAGTGTGTCTTCTCATGATTGCGGGTTTGAAGACATCATTGAAGAGCTAAGGAAGTATCTCGCAGATAAAAGGTAATTACTTACTTCCTATAGCCACTGGCATTGGCTGCTCATCTTCAATTTGAAGTAGCAATTAATTGGTTAGTACATATTTTGGTTAGAGTTGCTTGCCCATGCATGTAGGAAGTTTTGTTGTTTTCTTGTTTTGTATGTTCGTGATAGATATTCAAAATTTTAAAGAAAACATTAGAGCAGAAACACACCTTCGGAACAACTGATTGAAGTTTTGTATGTTTTTCCATTCAATGTAAAAACTTGCTTAGTTGTTTATTGGAAGAGACTCGTAGGGGTTGAGAGACAGGACCGAATACTCATAGGTGAAGAATGCTAGGTGGCTACAATATACAGGCATAAGCTGACCAAATGATAATGAACGTTCTTCAGCCAGGCATTGTTATCCCGTCTTGAATATTATGTGATCATGCTAATTTAGCCATATGAGCAACATATTTCTTTCATCTAGTCCATTTTAATTTTCGATGCTTCTGTCATCAACTTTGTCATATTCTGATACGATGTAACCTGTGCAAACATTTCAACAGGTACCTTATTGTACTTGATGACTTGTGGGATCAATCAGCATGGAATACTATTAGTCTTGCTTTTCCAGAAAATGGAAATGGGAGTAGAATAATAGTAACGACACGAGTGGAAGATGTGGCTGTTGAACGTAATATGGCAACGCCTAGTGCTGTACGTGACAGAGATTCAGAGTCCTGAAGATAACCATCGCCCAGGACTCCAACCGAAGATAGACTAGGATCTAGCACGTATGTGTTTATCTTTGTAACCTCTCTTATCTCTTCTTCTCCAAGTTGTAATCTGAACCAACTTGTACGCTATACCAGGAGGTCGCGACCTGGCTATATAAACACGCAACCGTCGCCCAGGATGGGTACGACGTTCCTCCATAGTGGCTAGTGTGGCCTGTCACAATGACCGTAAGTGCATTTACACAATGAAGCCCCTCAATGAACAGAATTCAAGAATGTTATTCTCGAACAGAGTATTTGGGTCTGAAGTTGTTTGTCCACCCTATCTTAAAGACGTTGCGGCTGAAATTCTGAAGAAGTGTGGCGGATTGCCTCTTGCAATTATCACTATAGCTAGCCTATTAGCTACTCAAGTGAGGTCAAGGAAACACTGGGAGAGCATAAGGAAATCTCTGGGTGCCCAATCTGCCACAAATCCTTCATTGAAAGAGGTGAATAACATATTAAACCTTAGCTACACGCATCTTCCTCTTCATCTCCGGGCATGTTTTTTGTACCTTGGTATGTATCCTGAGGACCACATTATATGGTGGGATCATCTTGTTAGACAATGGATAGCTGAAGGCTTCGTCAGCAGTTTGCATGGGTCAGATTTGGAGGATATTGGCAGGAGTTATTTCAATGAGCTCGTCAATAGAAGTATGATTCAGCCATCAAAAACTGAGTATGGAGAGGTGTTGTCTTGCACAGTACATGACATGATGCTTGATTTGATCCTAATCAAGTGTGTAGAAGACAATTTTCTAAGTGTGGCGTACAATTCTGAGGACATGGCAAGACTGATGCATGGCTGCAAGTACAATGTTCGCAGATTATCCCTGAGCTCCATGGCTACTGGTGGAGCAACATATGAGTATGATATGGCTATTGCTGCTAGACTGCCACAAGTTCGATCATTTATATTGTTTGAGAATCCCATACCACCTTTTTTGTGGTTCAAGTATCTCAGGGTGCTCATCATTGTTAGGGGAAAGGATACAGTTGACCTCACTGCCATTAGCCAACTGTTTCAGCTGAGGTGTGTGATGGTTAGAGTCGATGGGAAAATAGAGCTCCCTACTGAACTTGGTAAGCTTGTTTACTTGGAGACACTGGACATACAGAAATGCAGGCTGGTAAAGAGCATCCCTTCAGATATAGTTCATTTGCCCTGCCTGTCCTATCTGGGTCTTCCAAATTGTACAGACCTGCCGGAAGGTATCGAGAATATGAAATCACTGCGCACTCTGCAAGAGTTTGACCTGGAAAAGATCTCCCTGAAGTATATTATGGATCTCAGCGAGCTGACCAATCTGAGGGAACTGAGTGTGAAAAAAGAGTTCAGTTTGGGGACGCAAAAAGTTGATGCTTTGGCCTTGTCCATTGGAAAGCTCCGTAACCTCGAATGTCTGCGCATCTTTGGTTGCCATCTTGAGAGTGAGAACCTGCAGCTGGGCTCATTATCCAATCCTTTTCAACATATGGAGCGACTTTGCATGAGAACATGGTGGTTCTGCAGAGTTCCGAAATGGATGGATGGTCTCCATTGTCTGCGCGTCCTTGAGCTGCAGGTTGAGGAGACGTCAACTGAGGAGATTCATCTTCTTGGAGAGCTTCCCTCCCTCGTCTACCTCAACTTTGGAGCGGGTAAAATCCCTGCTGAAAGAGCTATATTAGGCACAGGACTATTCCTAGTTCTGGAGTATTTTTATTGTAGTTCTCGGAAAGACATTACAGCGTACCTGGGGTTCGAGGCAGGGGCTATGCCCAACTTACGAATCCTCTGTCTCAGTGTGGTGCATTGGGGCGGCACCATACCAGTCGGCATGGAGCACCTGTTACACCTCGAGGAGATCCGACTTGATGGGGCCTTTCATGATGTTGTGTGTGCGTTCAAGGAGGCTTCGCTGGTGCACCCAAACCGCCCTTTCGTTAGTAGGTAAAGTAACAGCTTGTTGGCTCACATCTGTAATGGCTGTAACTCTGATTATTAGTGAATGCATGCTCCTGATCTTCCCTATAATGGCTGTAATCCTGATGATTAAGCAGGTGGATGCATCATGTGTCGTGTTCTGAATATTTTGTGATTGGAAGATCAGGAATGCTAGGACTGAGGACGCATTTGGTCTAGTATACGTACCATGCTTGCTTATACTTAACTTAAACCCCTTGGTGTTAATTGCTAGGTCAGGTAGTTAACATCGTATGCCTGTGTACATAACTGGGATTGGACAAGCGGGATCATCCTTGCTGATACTGCTTTTGAAGCTTGAAAGTGAATCTCTTCTCTCTTTTTTTAAACAACTTTTGAATATAATCTCATCAAGTGAAAAGCTTGTCCAATCTATTTGTTCCTGTATGCAAACATTATGTTTGTGAGCTTTGCCTCATTCTGCAGTGTTCTTTAGGACTGGGCTCAAGCCTGGAAATAATGGGAAGATGGTAGTAACTGAAAGCAGCTACCACTTGTGCAAACTCTATGGCCCATCTTGGACGAAACTATTTTGTGTTACCATGTCCCTGAACATCGCAACAACACAAGCTTTTGAGCAGGGAGCAGCTCTGCCTATTAAATAGGTTCACAGGGTTTTGGTACACGTCAGAATTATTTGGTTGAAGACGATTATCGACCATTTAGCCAAGGAGACGGCACCTCCTTGTAGCAGGCCGGAAGTACTCGGCGTCGGGACTGGGCCAACACCTTTTACTATGATAAGTGTGTCATTGGCGTATCTTCTTCTTTTCTCATTGTTGCTAGCTGCGATCTCACTGCTGGGCACTTCAAACATGGTCCAAAAGTCAGAAATAAATATGGACCATAAACAAATAATTAAAAAGTGGTGAGTAAGAACATCCTCTTTTTCCATTCAACTTGGTGACTGACAAAACAATTAAAGCAGGCATATAAACAGTGTACATAATGCACCATAGTTTTCTGATTGGGGTGTGCACTCCTGTACTGACAGAAGCATGCAGGTGAGAGAAATCAGTACACTAGAGCCAGTGGTGACAAGAGTTTCATAGAGATGCGGCTTGGAGAACATGCACAATATTTGTCTGTCAATACGACTGAATGCCAACTAAGAATACGGTCTGTCGGCGTGGTTGATTGATGTCCACTGCATGATTGATTTGGCTACCCTGTTTGAGTTGGCTCAACAGCACTAGTCCTGTTGTTTGTGATGTCATGCATGATTACTCTTGATTCTTGAATGGGTCTGGAATGATAATAGACATATGAACTAAAAACAGTGAAGATGAATTAATCAAGAATGCCATATTATTCCAAGAAAAGCTCGGAGCTGCTTGAGAATGGATGATGTATTTATTTTAAACTTGGCAATTCATTTGTGAGTCTGAACATTTGCCACAGTGAGCAGGACCAAATCCTAGCTAGTATCATACATAATCTTTGTCTAGTGGTTTTTACATTGTTATTACCTGTATAGATTTTCCAGTTTCTTGGCTCCAAGATGGACTCCTTCATCTCTCTCTCTCTTTTCGGATAGCACTGATGAACTAATTAACCGAGGAGAGAATAAAAGCATTGATACCTGAACCTGACTGAGAGCTTGCACGTAGGTAACTTTCAGGACCCCTCCACTGTTTATCATATACTCCCTCCCTCCCAAAATAAGTGACTCAACTTTATACTAACTTTAGTACAAAGTTGAGTCACTTATTTTGAGACGGAGGGAGTATATGGCAAGCAGGTGGACCACCTCTGTTCAGGTGCCTGGGAAGAACGTTGCACACTCCATCCAGGTACCACCCAGCTGCCTTGAGAAATATTACGACAGAAGATCGTCTGTTCTCTTTTTTTTTTCAATCTGAGGCAAATTTTCAGATTCTTTGGAATGGTCGGCCTCAAGAGATGTCTTCAAGGTGAGCAAGGAATTTGCGCGACGTGTTTAGGTAGTCTAATCAAGCTGGCTTTTATGCTCTTTTTTACTTACTTGGCTCTAGACAGTAGCCAAAATTACCTCCCCTGTATCGCGCAGTGCACCTCTGATCATCTCGTCATCAACTTGCATAGGATTTTTGTTGACGCAAGTTGGAACATACATTTGGTGCGTGAATGCAGGCAGCATGTAAATGGTGCTGCAGTGCAAGTCCATGCTAGAGTTTCCTTGGCTATATAACCTTTGCAAATTCATCATATGAATATAGGTAGACCATGTAAAACAACATATGATGGAACAAAGAGCAGTGCAGATCAGGCCTATTTGAGTCAGATCCAAACCATTAACTTATCCCCTTAGAGATTTTTTCAAGATCTCCACACCAGCATAAAAGACAAACAAAAGCACCAAGTCCAATCAAACACGTGAATAAGATCATCAAGTTCAACGTTTGACAGTATTACACGCCAGTGGAAACTACTTGAGGGATGGCACCATCACTCACAAAAAAAAGAGGGATAGCACCATCAAGTTGTCACTGACCAATTTTTTCTACCTCTTAGCGTTTTTTGTATGTTACACTATTTTACTCGTTCAACAGCCTCGTTATTCCTCCCATAAGCCCCTCTTTTAGTCTGTCACTGGGAAAAAAAAAGGAGATGATTGCATAGTCAAACATATTACTCTGAACATCTTGTTGCCGGCTGTATATGATGATTCCCATTGGTTATGTCTTGTCGAAGTATAACTTACATATATATTAAGTGAGTCGAGTTACAATACTTGTTTTCTTTGACTACATCATGTGGTACACTTGTAAATTGTAAGAGCTTTCCTCGAGACAAGTTCTGCATTGACAAGGAATCCAATATAAAGAATTATTGGATGAAAGGGATTTCTACCCAAGTCCGTAGCTGGCAGTATCATGCTGTGACGGATAAGTTTTCTTCCACCTATCGTTGTTTTTTTATGTTAATTAATGTCATTGTTCTGCTTGTTAAACAGACCTTGTTGATCCTCTCAGATGTCCCTCTTTTCATCCCTCTCTTGTGAAAAGAAGGTGACAAATCGCATAGTCAAACATATTGCTGGTGAGTAGCATATGTCACAACATTTTGCCCGCATCGCTTCTTAGTCTAACATTGGGCTGTTTCTCTGCAGCTGCACAAATATTATCCCAGGCTTTATCCTGACGATTCCCATTGACTATGTTTCTTCCAAGTACTTTGTCAGCTCCTCCCCTCCACCGTATTGAGAAGAAGTGAAGCACAAGGATTGTATAAATACTCCTCTTTCTTGAGAAGATTGCAGGAAGCTATAGGAACCATTTAGCATGACAATGCCCAATACCAAGTTGAGCTTTTCCTGTATAGCTACTGCAGCTGTTGTCATCCTAACCCTAGGCAGTAGAACCAGTAGTTACTTGCAATTGACTTATCCCAACTTCAACACAATCAATAGGGATGATTTTGTTGTCGTAATCTTCAGTTTCAGGTTTCAGTAGGGTTTTAGGTGTCGAACAGTTTCAGTTTCGATAGTAGCTAGGTTGCTTCAGTTTCGTCAGTTAATAACCGAGCTGCGAATCGGCAGTAGCTAGCTAAGTTTGCGGCGCCCTGACCCGATCGTGGGATGGCACGGCTGAACGGTCACGGCGCCATGACGGGCGACGAGTGGGGAGTGTTGGGATGGCAGCACTCGCGACCTGTTCATGCCCCGTTTTTCGTTTTCAGTTAGATCTTGTATGACTGAATAAAAGGAAGAGAAACAGAAAAGCTGCAAGTGTGCGCAGCAACAAAACCCCTCTCTCTCTCGCACTTTCCTCTTCCCCAACTCCGATGATCGTAGTTGCAAGGATTGTCTGACAGATTTTAGTTTCAGCCCAGGCTCAACAATTGCAGACGGTGCCTTGCAGATCACACCAAGTACCGGAAACATGCGCCACCAGTCGGGGAGAGTGCTCTATGCAAGGGAAACCCTTAAGCTGTGGAACAAAAAGCTCATGATGCCCACATCGTTCAGGACAGATTTCCTGCTCAGCATCCTCCCCGGTCAGAATGGGGCTGGAGAAGGTATGGCATTTGTGCTCACAAACAATCCATCATTGCCTAGCAACAGCAGTGGCCAGTGGCTTGGCATATGCAATGACATGACATATGGCACGAAGACAGACCCAGTTGTTGCTGTCGAGTTTGACACGAGGAAGAGCTATGAGGATGACCTTGACGGCAACCATATCGGCATCGACATCAACAGCGTCAAATCTATTCGGTAATACCCGCTTAGTAATGTTTCCATCGTCCTCTCAAGTGGGTCTGATGTATGTGTCAGTATCATGTACCACGGCACATCGAAATTGTTTCAAGTATTTCTAGTCCAACACAACATCTGTGGGCGGTATGTCTACCAAGGAGATATCTACATTGATCTATCACAGCTTCTGCAGGACAAGATATATCTGGTATTTGCAGGTTCCACTGGCAACTTCACCCAACTGAACCAGATAAAGTCGTGGAACTTTACCATGATAGATGAATAAGCCTGTGTTTCTTTGGCCTTCGGGCAGCAATTAGCGGGATATGGAGTTGTCGAACATCGGGTTGCTCTTCACGGGAGGGGCTCGACAGCACAACAGTTTCTGCTCCATGACCTCTACTTCTCTCACGAGGAAGTGAGTACTGTGGAAATTTGTACTATTGTATTGAGAGTGTCGAGTGTTCACTATGATGTGCTTGTGAAGTTGTATGTTCCTGCTTGTTTTATGGCTGAATAATTTTATAATGCATCAGTTCTTTTTAAGCACTACAAAAATATGACCGAGGGAGTAAACCACTACAAGAAATTATTGGTCACTGAAAACTTGTGACCACCATTATTGGTCATTGAAAGGTCATGGTTTTTCATTTGCGACCTTTTTGTGACCAAAAATAGAGGGTCAAAAGCTGGCGGTCGTAAACTGACTATAGCGACCTTTCTTCTGGAATGGTCGAAGACGTTTATGACCAGAATATGTTCACTGTGGCGTTTTGGTCACTAGCAACCTCCCCAGGCCACGTAGGCATCCAGCGTGGCAAGCTGATGTGGCACAAGATTCAGCCCGGTCCAATTCGGTTTTCTACATGGGCCTAGCCCATTAATTCAGTCCATTTAGTATATTTATTTTTGTTAATTTTGTTCAGCTACATGGGCCAAGCCCAACTGGTCAGCCCATAAATTTTTATGCACGTTTGGCCTTTCAAGAATATATATACAATTTTGTGCAGCCCATTTCTGGTCTACATTTGACCTTTTTATACATTCAAATATTAATTCAATCCTGGAGTTGGTCCAGTAGTCTTTTCAGCCCATTCACATATTCATACATATGATCCACCTTGTCGACAAATTTTGCAAATAATTTCATATTTCAGCACTAAATATGTTTACATCACAGGCGATAAAGCCCTACAAAATAGTATCACTTGTTCCTATACAAAACTATCAAATGATACATACAACAAAACAGAATACAGAAAATTTAGTTCAACAAAAATAGGTTTTCTTCCTCTTCCATCTTCCAGAACACACAACACCTGTGAAAATAAAGATGCCACAACAAAAATGGAAGGACCAGCCACTAGAACCATATTGAATACAAGGGAAGCAATCAAACTAAAGAAATGAAAGGTACGCACTGTGAAAAATTTGAGAGCACGAATATTTTTTATATTACCATAACAAACAGAAATGTAATCTGGTTGCACAAGACACATGGCATGTAATATTCAGAATCCATGCATGTCAAATTTTAAGCACCGGCAGAACAGATCTAATAAACCAGACCATAATCAGCATGCATCAGGATTTATGGTTCTAGCAAAACAGTAAGGATACGGAGATACACGCATCAAGCGTACCAGCTACTATAATAAGAGGTCCAGATGCTCCAGGAACTATAGGGAGAATGCACCCCGGCAGTCGTGCAGTAGCTAGGGATTGAGGAGGATGAGCTTGCTCCCATTGTACCTGGATGGTAGACAAGAAAACAAGTTATGGCAGCAGAAGCATCATGCTGTATCCATTGTACCAGGGTCATATTTAGGTACACAATTAGCTAATATTTCGATAAAAAGTACTCAGTAGCTACAATGTATAGGTTACACGTATGAATGAAAGATTCAGTAAAGGCATGTTGATAAAACAGTGAAAACAATGGTATCCGGTATACCGCCATGCATGAGCACTTTTTAATATTTATATTCATCATCACAACAACCTATAACCACCTATGCTCATTGTTACAAATCTATGCATAGTTACAAAAAATAAACCTATGTATTTGAAACCAGAATAGATTTCTCACTCAAATCTGAATTCATTGGTTTCTCCTCCATACTATTGAAATCTCAGGCCTCTAATTCGCTAGTTTCTTGGGCAACAAACACCATTGCAAATTTGCAATGCAGCATAGATAAACCAAATGTAACATCAGAAACAACAAGGTAGAATCATCTAGACCACATGTTTACCAGCAAAAAAAATCTAGAACACATGTTCTACCGAAATGCAGAGAACGATTTGAAATCAAATGCAAGAATTGCAGTAGCACATACAACTAGCATGTTACGGTTTGTGGGTGATGGGGAAAATGCATGTGAAGTGCATAAATAACAGAGGAATAGAGCATGTCAACTACTGTAAAGCACAATCACTAGCGTGGTGGTGAGAGCAGTTTCCAGACGCCAACCATTCTTCTTGCAGGTGCTGGACGCCCCCGCCTTATAGCGTGAGTGGAGGTAGCACACAATCTGCACCAACAAAGCACCAAAAACAATGTCAATCCCCTGTGTCACAGTCTCACAGACAGCCAAACCATCTTAATCCTAAAAACAAAAAAGGCATCAGCACCACTGAGGAGGAGGACGCACCGAGAATAGACACTGCAAGAATAGCATACTTCTATGCTGAATCTAACAGAAAAAGGTCCTGCAAAGAACTAGGACTAAACAGACTATTGTAGTATCAATTAACTCGCAC